TATATAGAACATTTTTTCCTTGAACATTCAAATCTAGGTTTTCAGAAAATGTCAGATTTCCCACTTTAGATGCTTTGATGACAGTATTCTGTTCTTGATAAGATCAGGGACAAAAGTTCACATGGATTAAATATACCAATCACTGTCTTTCTATGCTCTCTATATTAAGCTGATTTTACAAGAATGAAGAGTGGAAGAAACTTTATTACACAGCAAAATATAAGCAGGTTGTGGTAAAGCTCAGGTGTCCCAGATCATGACAACCGCAATAACTCCAATGCCCAGGAGAACAGCCAAGAACTTGAAATGAGGCTTATCGACCGCGACTGTCTTCTGAGGTTTGTAACCCTTGGAGAGCAGATGGTTGATGGAAACATATATGAAAACTCCACAGGCAATGCCCATGGAGATGGCGTAAATCCAGTCCGCCACTTTTCCTTGAGTTGTGGCGTCGATTATGATCCCAATGGCGACGCCCACCGGGCTGGAGATGGCGAATGCGAACGAGTAAGCTATGCAGGACAAGAGCGGGCGATTTGGGATCATTCTGAGCAGTGCTATCCCCATTGCTATAGCTGCAAATATTTTGTGCAAGCAGACTGTCCAAAGCGCCTTCCATGCATCCGCTTTGGTGTCTGCTACTCCAATGGCGATCCCTTCGAAAACTGAATGGAAACACAGCGCGAATATCAGAAGCAAACTGTCCCCCAGTGAACTTGCGTGCAAGAAATGGCTTTCCGTGCCATCACAGCCCTGCTAAAACATTCATGGAGCTTAGGATTAGTCTAACGTAAGGTGAAAATAAAGAATCTATCGGAAGCTGAAATTAAAGAATGATAAGGGAAGTTATAGACATTATTTACTTAACATAAATATAGGATTTGATTACTTTTATAATTATAAAATTCACTACCTAATTTAAATCAAATATCATTCTATTAATTTAACTTATATTACTAATTTAAATCAGATATCATTCTATTAATTTAGCTTTATCTTTCCTCACTTATCTTTTCTCACTGTATTACCTACTCATTTCATCTTCACTCTTAATATCAATTGTTTTGATTTTTTATTTTATTTATTTTTTTGTTTTTTAAAACCTGTATTCCGCTTGTAGGATATGTTTTTTTATTTTTTTATTTTTAGTTTTAAAACTTATATTTCGATTATAAGATCATACATATCAAACATGATAATCATTCTAATTTCACCCGGTTTAATTCCGATTTCCATGTTAGAACCAAACAAACCTTTAATGTATCTATTAAAAAAAAAAAATAAATAATAAATAAAAAGAAAAGAAAAGTTCATCTGTGAACATCCATCACCTGCAACTGTGATTGTGGATGGGTGGTCCCAATTCCATTGAAATTTCTACCCTCGGTGTTTCCTACAAGTTACAATAAATGGGTAAATTGACACTTCAAATAGAGAAGATAAGTAGTGGTAATTTGATAGAAAGAGAGAAAATTGAACCTTGGAGCTCAAGATCGGCGGTGGGTTTAGCAGATACAGTTGTTTGCTTGCTATAAACATAGGAAATCACACAATCGGCGAACATGGTGAGAAGATATCCAGCACTGGCGAGCATGAAAGCAAATGGGTATTCTTTATCACTCAGGTCCCCAAAAGTCTCATTAGCGTCGCTCAAGAAATGCATCAGAGCGGTCCCCAGAAACACGCCGCCGGCGAACTGCGTTCCCAGCACCAAGAACCCCTCGTTCCACTTGAGGAAGTAGGGGGAAATTCCCCCGGCAAAAGTCCCCACGAAGACAATAATCAGGCACCATATCTTGACCAAAATCAACGGCCGAGATCTCAGGTCAGGCTTCTCGGATTCGCCGGCGTCGGCATCATCGTCGTCGTGGCCACCATGGGCGGCGGCGGAGACGACGAGGAAGAGGAGGAAGGCGACGAAGAGAAGAAACCGAGGCATTATTAGAGATTTTTCACCATTTTATGGAAAGATTCTAATTTTTTTGTTTTTATGAAAAAGAATTGAAGTTTGTTTGGTAATGAATAAATGTTTGTGTAGTACACACAAGAGACGAATGAAGGAAGAAAGTGGCGTTGCGGTGAAAGTACGTACTACACTTGTGGAAAAGTCTAACGTTCATTGACCGTTAGTCCGTCAACGATATTTGATTATTATTTTTTTTTTCCTTTTACATAAAATTCTTGTTAATATTCCAAAAATGTGATGTCGAAATGATGCAATAATGAAAGAATAATTGACACCAATAATTACCTAATTATTAGGGATGTCAATCGGAGGTTTTTTTTTTTGAAAAAAAAATGCTACTGGCACCTAAAACACAAAGAATCAATAACGCCTCTACTGAAGTTTAAACTCATAACCTTTCAAATGGAAGTCCAACCCGGATACCATTAGATCACATAGCCTTGGTGGTTTAGTTTCAGATTAGTTTTATTGAAATGTCAAATTTATCATTTTTTTTGTCTTGTTTTAAATTGTTAACCCTAACTCTAAAACTTCGAGTTATTAAGTTTATCGAACGGATTTCAAGTTTCTAACATCCAAATCTCCATAAACCCACAAACACAAATACCATAAGTTCAAAATTCACATACCCCAAATCCACAATCAATACTAGGGTTTAAAATGACAAACTTGTGCTAAATATTTAGGGTGTGTTTGGTTTATGGTTTTTGGTTAACAACTTTTTAAAATATAACTATGAGATTTGATTATCCCTTCATTCAAAATCACATTCTCTAATTAAAAAAAGATATCATTACATCTTGTTCGTAATATGATTTTAAGTGTGGATTAGTGTTTTTAGATTTTTGTTTTGATTTTTTTTTTTGTACATATTGGTGCTTGAGATGTTATCATATTATAATCAATTGGCTTGATTTTTTGTTTTTTGTTTTGTTTTTTGTTTTGTTTTTTGTTTTGTTTTTTGTATTTTTTAAACCTTTATTCTTATTATAGGGTCATACATAATCAAACATCAATATTCATAATTATTCTAATTCCACCATACTGCCAAATATGTAAAATACTTTCATCAAAATTCATACCATGACTAAGTATTTGATTCCCATTCCAATTCTGATTCTCATGTTCGAGTCAAAGACACCTTTAGTTGTCAAATAAAAGAATTAAATGCCATTTGTAGCAATTCAATGATTAAACATAGAAATTAAGTATATAAAATAAATTATTAGTTTATGAAACAATTAAATCAAATTAAAAGCTAATTAAGTAAACACTTAAAGCTAAATATTGAAACCATATTCAAATAAATCTAATTAAATAATTAAACATTTAATGGATGCTAATTGGAATTACTTGTTGAAGTGCTAAATTTTAAGTTGAAGAATGATTGAATGAAGATTTTAGTGGTCAAGTTCTTTTTATTTTGTTGGTCGGGCTAATAGGGCCAAACTGACAATTCGATTAGCTCAATTTCTTAGTAGGCTATTTTTTTTTCTTTAACTCTACAATTTATTTATTTTATCAGACCAACTCATCAATTTTGAGCTACGATTGACATCCTAAATATAGTGTATGTGGAGCCAGATGAGGTAATAATAATGTGATATAATGTACGACATGTAATAATAATACAAAAATGCATATGACAAGGAAGTGATGAAAGAAATACTAAGTTTGAAAGATATTTTCAAATTCACAAATTAATTCTTATGGTTCAAGTGAAGAAAGTTTAATTTCATTCGAATAAAGTTTTGAAATTAAATTTTATGAAAAAAAAAATTGTTACAAAAATATCAAACTCAAATCTTATAAATAGAAATCTTAATTTATACAACTCGAATAGTAAAAAAAAAAAAAAAATTACAAAAAAGAGAAAGAAGACAAAAGTTGATTCCGACAATTCTTGCACTCCTTAATAATGTGAGACTGTGAGAGTGGACACTGGACATTGACATGTTCTAACAATTTCGAATACAAAAAAACAATAAATATTCTTTTGAGATACTAAAAATAATTAAATTAAAATTTTTTACAATTGATTTTTAATGTATATTCTATTTTATAAATTTTACTATCTCCCTAAGCTTATAAGTAAAAAAAAAAAAAAAAAAAAAAAAAAAAAGGTCCAAACCTTTACATTTTTTTTTTTTGGAATTATATTTAAATCTTGAAATTTTGACAATTTAATACCAAATATTTTTAATAAAATTATACTATCCAACCCTCCATTATTTAGCAACAAAACATCCACATCATCATATGATTTAATATTATTGTACTAATTTTTTTAATTTATGTAGAATTACAAATTAGTGCAATTTTGTTGTTGTTGTTTTTTGTTTTTGTTTTTTCAATTAATGTAATGCTAGTTTGCAACTATACATAAATTGAAAAAATTATACAAAATGTAAAAGTTTGATATTAAATTGTCAAATTTTAAAGGTTTGAATATAATTATATTATAACAAAGAGGAAAAAAATATCTCTCTCTAGGGTTCCTAGGGTTTTCTCTCAATCTCTAGGGTTTCTAGGGTTTTTCGAAGCAGTTCGGCTCATCTCTCCCGGCGATCGCCGGCGTTTCAACATCGATGGACGAACGGAATGACGAGCAGGTAGCAGCAGGGCAGTCAGCTGGGATGGTGGAGAGACTCACGGCAAGATGGGCTGATATGGCGTTAGAGGAGGATGGGGACGAGTTCGTCCCGGAGGGTGACGGGGTGGGCGAGGTTGCGGTAGATGGTGAGGCGTCATGGGCGGTTGTAGGCCATTTCTGGGCGGTTGTAGGCCGTTTCTTGACGGCGAAAGTTGTCAAGCTTGAGTATATGAGGAATGTAATGGCTTCTGTGTGGCAACCGGTAAGAGGGGTTCAGATAACGGAAGTCCAACCGGGGCTATTTTTGTTTGTGTTCTTTCACGACACGGATGTTGCGTATGTCTTGGAAGGGGGACCATGGGCTTTTGAAAACAATACGCTGGTTTGCCGTGAGGTTCAGGGGGGATGAATCCGTGTGATGTCCCTCTGGATACGGTAGACATGTGGGTTCAGCTGCATGGATTACCAATGGGCTACACATCGCAAAGTGTTCTTGAGCAGGCCGGTAAGTTCATTGGTACTTTCGTGAAACATGATGATAGGTTTGTTGAGGCTCCCTGGTTAACTTTTTATCGCATTCGGGTCTCAATTGCGGTTGGCAAGCCATTGAGGAGGGGTATGAAGCTGGTTAAGAGGGATAGGACTACGTCTTGGGTGTCCTTTAAGTATGAACGACTTCACAAGTTCTGTTTCTTCTGTGGGCTAATGGGGCATGTTCACACCTTTTGTTTGAAAGCAAGGGAAAGTCGGGTTCCGGAGAGTGAGTTTCGGTATGGAGTGGAGTTGAGGGCGGGGGGTGGAAGGGGTGCTGCGAGAGGGGTGGGTGGGAGCTGGCTTATTCCAGTAGGGGGGAGACCGTTACCGATGCCGGAGAATCGGCCGGCGGGTGGGGAGGGTGTTCGGGGAACGTTGGCGGAAGGTGAGGGTGAGGAGGGGGTTTCGGGAATTGGGGTGTCGGATGGAGGGGAGGTGGTGGCAACCGGGAAACGCCGCAGGGAGGGACAACAGGGGTGTGAGGGGAGGGAGGGTGAGGATGTGACAATGAACGATGTTTCAAAAAACTTGTGTATGGCGGGAGCTGTATCTCAGCCCCTCCCGTCTTCATGAGTACGCTGAGCTGGAACTGTCGTGGCTTGGGCAATCCACGAACAGTTCGACAGATAGTGGACATTGTGTCCCGGAAGAAGCCTGAATTTGTATTTTTGATGGAGACTATGGTGGCACGGATACATGCAGAAAGGCTCCGTGTCACGATCGGTTATGAGGGTTTGTTCTATGTAGACAATGACGGGAGGAGTGGTGGTATGGCATTACTTTGGAGGAAGAATAACTCAGCATCGTTGTTGGGATATTCTAAACATTTTGTGGATGTGGAGGTAAGGGCTCAGAACGGGAATCAGTGGCGGATGACTTGTTTCTATGGGCAATCGGATCGTAGTAGGAGGTCGGAGTCCTGGAGTTTGCTGGAGAGATTGAAACCTAAATCTGTTTTACCCTGGGTACTCATAGGGGATTTTAATAATCTTCTGTTTCAGTATGAGAAGAGAGGAGGGAATCCTTACCCAAATCACCTCTTACGAGGCTTTGGGGAGGCCCTAGATGTTTGTGGCTTGATACAGTTGCCTATGCGAGGCCATCAGTTTACCTGGGAGAAGAGTAGAGGGACGGAAAATTGGATTGAAGAGAGACTGGACAAAGTTTTAGCCACAGCGGACTGGTGTGGACTAAATAATCACGTGGATGTGGAAAACATCATAGCCCGACCTTCAGATCACTCAGCACTTTTCCTTAGTATAGATGCGCCACGCATCTGAGGGGGGAGATTTGCAAGACGATTTAGATTTGAGATGGCATGGCTCCAGGATGAGGGGTGTAGAGAGGTGGTGACTACGGCGTGGCAGGGAGGGAGGGTTGAGGGGTTGCTGAATTGTCAGCAGCGGTGTGGGGAGAGGTTGATGAGGTGGGGTGGAGAGAAATTTCATAAGTTTGGAGAGCGTATTGGGCAGTTGAAAAAGAGACTGTAACTGCTCAGGAACAGGAGAGACCCGGCCGCATCGGCTGAGTTTCACCAAGTTGATGTTCTCTTAACCCAGCTGGAGGCGCAGGAGGATGTGTTCTGGAGACAGCGGGCCAAGCAGCACTGGCTTCGCAATGCAGATGCGAATACGAGATTCTATCACAGGTATGCTTCTGCTCGTAAGAAAAAGAATACTGTGAATAGAATTATGAATAATGATGGTGTGTGGGTCGAGGGGAATGATATGTGCTCTGTTATCCTTGAATATTTTCAACAAATTTTTACAACTGAGAGTACTGTTTTTGATGATGCTATGATTGATAATTTTGTCCCGCGAGTAACGCATGCTTAGAATGAATCTTTGTTGCGCCCGTTTGTACCGGAGGATGTGAAAGAGGCAGTATATTCTATGTATCCTGACAAAGCGCCTGGCCCGGATGGAATGAATCCAGGCTTCTACCAGCACTTCTGGGATGTAGTAGGGGGGGATGTGTCTGATTTTATAATATCATGTTTGAATACAGGCAATCTTCCGGAAGGTATAAATGATACAAACATTGTTTTAATCCCAAAGAAGGCGATGCCGGAGAGGGTGGCTGATATGAGACCGATTGCTCTCAGCAATGTTATTTATAGGGTAATGGCGAAGATGATAACGAATAGGATGAAGCCACTTATGGGAAACTTGATCTCGGAGTCTCAAAGTGCGTTTATCCCTGGCCGCCTGATCACAGATAATATTCTTGTTGCAGCAGAAGTGGGGCATTATTTAAATAGAAAGCAATGTGGGCAGGTAGGATGGAGTGCTTTAAAGCTTGACATGTCAAAGGCTTATGACAGGATGGAGTGGTCTTTTCTGCAGAGAATGATGTGCGCTATGGGTTTCGATCAGCGGTGGGTTACCCTTATAATGCATTGTGTCACAACTGTGAGGTATACGATTATGGTAAACGGGGTGGCAGGTGGACAGATAGTGCCTACACGAGGTCTCAGGCAGGGGGACCCTCTATCTCCCTACTTGTTTATTATTTGTGCAGAGGGGCTCTCCATGTTGTTACAGAAAGCGCAGTTGGATGGGGTAATCCATGGCTGTAGGGTGGCAAGAGGGACACCGGCGGTGTCCCATCTATTTTTTGCAGATGATAGCCTGCTTTTTTTCAAAGCTAATATAGAGGAAGCTGGTGTAATTAAACAATGCTTACACCAATATGAGAGGTTGTCTGGCCAAAAAGTGAATTATGACAAGTCAAATATTTGTTTCAGTAGAAACACCCAGGAGGAAATAAGGGGGGAGGTGGCGGCAGTTTTAGGGGTAAGTCAGGCGGCTAATTTTGGGAAATATTTGGGACTCCCATCTTTTGTAGGCAGAAATAAGAGAGCTGTTTTTCTTATGTGGAGGATAAAATCAGGCAGAGAATTGGTTCCTGGAGTAAAAAGTTGCTTTCTCAGGCTGGTAAGGAAGTACTTTTGAAAAGTGTGGCATAATCTATGCCAACATTTTCAATGAGTGTTTTTTTGTTACCTGAGACAGTTTGCACATCAATAGAGAGGACCATGAACAGGTATTGGTGGGGATCTGGAACGGAGAGGAAAATACATTGGAAGGCTTGGGATAAGTTATGCATCCCTAAGAAGTATGGGGGTCTGGGATTTAAAGACCTACGAGCTTTTAATTTGGCAATGCTGGGAAAACAGGCATGTCGTTTTCTCACAAACCCCGGCACTTTGGTGGCAAGAATATATAAAGCCAGGTATTACCCGAATACATCTTTTGTTGATGCTACCATAGGAAATTGCCCAAGTTTTTGCTAGAGAAGTATAATGGCTGCGCACGGAATGGTTTGTTCAGGGGTAAGGAGGCGTGTAGGGAATGGACAAAAAACATTAATATGGGGGCATCCCTGGCTACCAGATAATCCCAGTCCGTTGGTCCAAACAATAATGCCCCAGGAGTTGCGACATGCCCATGTAGCAGGATTGATTGACCAACAAACTAATACCTGGGATCCACATATTCTGACTGATTTATTTATTCCTCAGGATGTCACACGTATTTTAATGATCCCTGTTAGCCCCGAATATGAAGACACTTGGTATTGGAAGGGGGAGATGAATGGAATATATTCAGTTAAAAATGCCTATAGGCAGATTAAGGGGGATTATGTGCATAACCCAGGTGATTTTGATAAATGGGTTACTATGTGGAAATTGAAAGTGCCACCCAAATGGAAGACCTTTTTGTGGAGAGCAGTCTGTGGTATCCTCCCTACTACGGACAATCTAATAATGCGACGAGTTGAGATTGATCTGCTGTGCCCAATGTGCCAAGGGGCGCATGAGAACATCATGCATGCGTTACTCGAGTGTGACTATTCAAAATTAGTGTGGGGTATGTCGGGGTTGCTGGTTACCAATATACATACTAATTCATTGCCGACATGGCTTATGGGAATTTTTAATGTCTTGACAGAGGAACAGTGTGGCCTAGCAGTGGCGATATTATATGCTATTTGGAGTACCCGCAACAAGGCGGTATGGGACCACGCCCTCCCAAGACCGACGGACACATGGAATCGAGCGGTGGCGGCCATGCAGGCATACCGACGTGCGCAGCCCGGCCTGCCGGCACGGACACTTACTGCCGTGATTAGTCAAGCCACTGGCGGTGTACCTCGCTGCTACGTAGACGCGGGTTTCAGGCCGGATACGGGAGAAGCATCCTATGGTGTAGTTCTCGTCTCACAACATGGATCGTTTGTTGCGGCAATGAATGGACGGCTCGCGGGGTGCTTTCTCGGCTATTATGGCCGAAGCACTGGCCTGTAAGGAGGCGCTCTCTTGGCTTAAGAATCGGGACATCATGGAGGTGGACATGTTGATGGACTGCATGGAATTACAAAATATGATGCGTACAAGCCACACGGCTAACTACTCCTACCTTGGGATCATTGTAGACCAGTGTAGGACTGCTATATCGTTATTTACGAGATGCTCGCTGAGTTATATTTTGAGAAGTTTAAATTTACATGCTCATACTTTAGCTTCTTTAGCTTTCGATCAGGACCAAGCTATGTATTGGGACTCTGTCCCTCCTGACTCTATCATTCAGTTTATTCATTAATATACCGCATGGAAAATTTTCACAAAAAAAAAAATATTATAACAAAGAGTATTTTTCTCCCCGTGTGTCTTTATCAAAATACAAAATATAATTTTACAAAGCAATTCATATACGGAGTAATTAGTTATTACGTACACTATAAATTAGTTAACTTCAAGGCTACGACATATTGTGTTAAACAATTCGTTTTTTTTTTCTCGAAAAAATGTGTTCATTAAATTAAGATTTTATTTTTTTTATCCCATTTCCCTTTTCATTTTTATTTATATAATATGGAGTATAATCGGACGGCATATTGGTCCCATGCTTAGTTAACTTCAAGGCTACGACATATTGGTCCAATGCTTTAATTTCACATCACACTATGGCCGTTCTCACTCATCCCCCAGTCCCACACAAACAAAACCCCAACCCTCTGGACGATAGTTGGCTCCACTGGATCCCACTCCATTATTATAACACGCTTATTCTACGACTAAGTCCTCAAATTTTAATGTCATCATTAATATAAGGTATATAATCCAAAGGATAGCTAAAATGGTAAAGGAGTTTATTTGTGGGAAAGATGTTAAGATAATTTGAGTTTAATTTTCATAAGTGATAATTTTTTTTGGGCCAATTCATGTGTCTTTGGGATCAAACGGAGAAAGACAGGAACACTTTGTGGATTTACACACACAAAAAAATGAATATAAGGTATAACTAAAGGTACTTTTTTTTGTGCGTTAGAGAGGTCTATGGTTCCCAAATACTGAAGGTATATTATTTGATACTTGATAGTATAAAAAATAATGTATTTTCAATACTCAAATACATAGTAATATACTTTTTATAAATACAAGGTACATTTTGAATTTTGAATATACTAAAAGTATATTATTTGTGTGTTGAATGTACGTTATTTGATAGTATTCAAAATAATGTAAATACATAGAATGTACAAAATGTCATTACAACTAATTTATATATATATATATATATATATATATATATATATATATATATATATATATGATCAGGTGCAGTGATTAGCTTCCTGTGAAAGATGAGGTTTAATATCATCTAATCAAAATCTAACCGTCCAGATTGAGCACATATTAAAAAAAAAAAATACGGTGGCAATTTGGTCTTTTTGTATTTAGGTCAAATTTAAGGTGCGTCGGTCTAAAACTTTATGTGCGTGGTTTTTCTTCTTAAGGTGTGTGGTCTGTGTGCTTAAGGTGCATCAGTTATTGAAACTTAAGGTGCATCGGCCTAAAATTTTAGGTGTGTTGTTGTCCTTCTTAAGGTGCGTTGTTTTCATTTTTAAGGTGCGCTATTTTTTTTTTTTATAGTTTGGTTCTTTAATTTCAACGAAACTTGGACTTCCAATTCCTTCTTAGACGCTACTATGTCCATTTGTAATTCATTTTGCTTCGCTGTAACAGATTCTGAAATTTTTGGACTATTTTTTGTTGTTTCTACAGTCTATTGCGTCTTGTTAGCCTTGTCCGAACCTCCAGGACATTTTGGAAATTTTCTTGTAGCAATCTCAGCATGTTGCACCAATTTTGGATTGGTTTCCTTGTAATTGTCGTTGATCTGTGCGTTTTCTGAAAATTCTGGAAGGATCCGTTTTTTTTTTTCTTTTTAAATTTTTATTGATTTGAGCCATTGATTTAGATGTGATCAACGGCTCAGATCTAACCCCATCTTTCACTTCCTAATATATGTGTGTGTGTGCGCGCAAAATTAGTACACATTAAAACCTTATATTGACTAATTTATTTATCAAATAAATATGATTAGTTTAGACCAGCTCGATCTTGGACTGTTTCTGTCATAAAGACCTTATTTATCTACTGGTTCATGATCTGGATGTATATTTGAAAAGAGGAAGTCAGCATATTAATTATGTGGTTGAAGTTAATTATTTGGAAAGAGGAAGTCAGTAGAGTTATTATATGGGTGAAGCTAATTAGAAGGGATATTTTTATTATGAGTGGTTGTGGTTTATTTGATTTAAATGGATGGCTTTTTATTTGAGGAAGTCTGTTGTAATGAAGACTTCTTACTCTGGAAAGTCACGAATTCTTACAGGCTGAATTGGGAGAATTGAAGTTTTATATATTGCTACATTCTAAATCTAATTGTTATAATTAATTTGTGTGGGAATTCTGGTGACGGCATGCACGTACCAGTCCTGAGTGGAAGTTAGGAAGGTTGTAGTAGTAGTAGAGGCTAATAGCCTAATGTACTGACCTCTTGTAAAACTTTTTGGTGAACATCTATAGTGGATTGGGCAGACGTGGGTTGCCCCGCAGACGTAGGAGAAGCGCTCTGAACTGCATAATCAATTATCGTGTACTTAATTTATTTTTCATTATTTATTATTGTTAAATAACAAAAATTAATCATGCTAAATTAAGTTAATTTAAAATCAAGTAGAACTTTAAATTTCGTTTTTATTCAAGCTACGCGGCACAATTTCAAATATATATATATATATATATATATATATATATATATATATATTGAAACCATACATTTATTGAATTTACATAAGCAAATTTTATCCGGTTACATCTTCAAATAGTGAATAAAATTTTTCTCAAAGAGAAAATAAAATAAAATTTTGGACTTTCATGATACTAATTAATACGGCAACTACCTCCACATTAAATCCGGAGCTTGAATTCTCCCATAGTCCCATATATACATTAGGTTTAAGTAAACCATCAATCAATTATGGGTGTTTTTTACTAAAAACAATTGTGATGTTATGTTATATATGTGTATAAGAGAAAATAAAATGCAATGCTATTTTTATAAAAGAGTCATCATGTCATATTTTCACATTAAAATCACTTCTTGATATTTAAATAATTTCCAATTTACCAAAAATCATGTAGTCAAGAGGCATAACTGTAGCTCTTTCAAATATGAGGTCACATATTTGAATCCTAAAGGAGCATTGACATCAAGTCAATAGTATTTAAAAAAATAATTTTCAGTTTAAAACTTTAATATAATACAAGGTAAGAAAAATGACGAATATTTGTTTAAATAAAATAAAATGTTGAAAAATTCCGCGGATAGCTATGACGTGATAAGCGATCGATCACCACTGAAGCCTCTTAGGTCTTAGCAATAGTTGTAATGCCTACAAATCATAAAAATTCAGTAATATTACCTTGAGAATTCATCAAATAATAATAATAATAATAATAATAATAATAATAATAATAATAATAATAATAATAATAATAATAATAATAATAATAATAATAATAATTATCCTACTATGCCCTATCATGTCTAGAGTTGTACACGTTTCTTTCTAATAATTATACATACCCTTCTTTATAGTATTTTAATTAAACAAAATGGTACATATCTAGACAGAAAGGGTGTTAAGGAGATATTTGGTATACATTACATGATTTTGAAAAGAATGTTATACATTACCTAAATTGTTTAAACTATAAATTTTTTAAGTTAATATTTAATATTTTAATATTAACTATTAAAGTATTAAATAGTTTTATAATTATCAAAGAATTAATTTCACTTTTGGTCCCACGACTTTTGATGTTTTATCATTTTTGGTGCACAACTTTAAAATTTATTAATTTTGGTGCCTAACTTTGTTATTTTTATCAATTTTGGTCCTTTCGGTCAAATTAACAGCGAAATGTTGCTGGATTTTATATTTTTAGGGGTAAAATTGTCATCCCAAGGAAACATCTTCAATATCTAAACAAAATCACTGTAAAATCATATCTATAGGGGTTTGATCGATGAGAATAATGGGGAAGACGGACAGAAACCAGACAGATCTATGGGATTTATAGTTTCGACCATTGGCAAACTCTTCTTTTCCTCTTAATATGATTTTTCTTTTGTTTAAATATTGACAATCTTTCCATGGTATGATGATTTTGCCCCTAAAATATAAAATCCAGAAATATTTTACCGTCAATTTGGCTGGAAGGACCAAAACTGATAAAAATAACAAAGTTAGGCACCAATATTGAAAAAATTTAAAGTTGTGCACTAAAAGTGATAAGAACTCAAAAGTCGTGGGACCAAAAGTGAAATTAATTCATTATCAAATTTTAAAAATTTAACAATTTTATACAAATTTTTTAAATATAATAAATAAAATAGAAAATACCCAAACGTGACATTTAGGCGCTAGGCATATCTGAGCGGTCCAAGTATCTAGTGATTTTTTTAACTATGTAAAAAATAGAACAATGTTATACACCTCCAATTTATTTTCGCTACATTTTTTTTTCCTTCTGATTTCACATCATTTAATTGGTTGAATAATTAGTTGGTTAGTATATTTATGAATATTCAATGATTAGAAACCACATCATGGGAGAAAATATAAGAGGGGAAAGAAATAATTTTCAAAAAATAAAAAAATAAATAAAAATAAAGGGGTAGCAGGACACATATGATGACATACCCATTATACCCATATCGAAAGGGTGACGATAGAGCTTGGGCCGCATAACGCTGATAACTAGAAACGTCGTAAAAAGGATTACCGGCGGCCGCCGCATGCCAACCGTATCCCCTTATCGGATAATTAACATTGCCGTGGTGGTGCGCCTCATAGGCGCCGCCGCCGCCGCCCATGGGATACTCCGGCAACCCTCTTCTGCCGGCGTACATATACGGATCCTCGATGGCACCATAGCCGTAGCCATTTTCGTAATTAGACGAAGATCCATAGCCACGATTCAACAATGGATGCCTGAGATTCACAATCTTCACCTCTGCGTGTCTGCCGGACCTTGCCAGAGCAGTCAAGAGTCTGTTCGGATCCACTTCCCCAGAAACCCTAGCAAGTCCTTCCTCAGCGTCGATGCTAACTGAATATACACCTACACCCCATAATCATACAATTAAATATTCAATTTCTTCAAATAATTCGATTTAAAGAAGCTCTTTAACATTAATTCATCCAAAACTAAAGCAATTTTACCGATTACGCACCATTTATGGAACTCAGAACTTCCAGGACGTTTAACTTGCATGAATCGCATTGCACGTCCACTTTCAAAATACAACCCTACAAATTAAACAGCATCGATAATAAGCATTAAATCACATTTCGGCGGCAACAGATTTACTAAGATATTCATAATCTTAAGCTCTTGATCCAATATTGTATACATACCGCATGTGCTACCGGCTCCATTGATTCACAAGCTTGACGACTGCAACTATATATTTAATTAACCCTAATGCTGCTAATCCAGAAACTGTGTGTATATATATGTGCATAATGACATAATCCAGAGAAAAGTATGTATATGGTGATATATGATCAATATGGAAAGAATATCGAGTTATTAATGTAAATGTTTGTACTATGTCATTTCATTACTCGACATATATGCAAGAGTGTAAGACAATACTCCATTTTTCCTTTAAATTGATTTATTTATAAAAGCTAACTATATTGGGTTTCACTATACATAACAAATTTTCTTTTCTACAAGTGATGTCAAGTGGATCGTTGATTTGTCATGTTGCTCCGATCAAGGTTTAGATGAATTATTAGTGTTGCAAAAATTGGGCTTAGGCGCCGATCAGTCGGCCACCTAGACGCTCTAGGCGCCCGCCTAGGCCTTCTAAGCGCCGATTAATCGCTCTAGGCGCCCGCCTAGGCACCCTAAGCGGTCCCCAAGCGCCTAGCGATTTTTTCAACCTTGTGAATTATATTATAACATTAATGTAGGTCGCGTCATACTAACCTACCTTAGAATGCAGGTCATATTGGCTCAACCTACATTTTTAAAATGTTGGTCGACTTGCCCCACTTTAATTTATTAAAATATTTAAATTGAAATTATATATATATATATATATATATATATATATATATATATATATATAAAGTCGGTTCAGGTGCGGGTGAGTGTTTCCCGTGCGGGTGTGTTGTTTTAACATGCGTGAGTTTTTTGTACTTTAGGTGCGTGAGTCTTGTGCTTAAGGTGCGTGAGTTTTGTACTTAAGGTGCGTGTGTTTGTGCTTAATATGACTTGTTGAAACTTAAGTGCGTGAGTTTTGTGCTTAAGTGCGCGAGTTTTGTGCATAAGGTGCGTGAGTTTTGTGCTTAACTTGCGTGAGTTTGTGCTTAATGTGAGTAGTTGTTGAAACTTAAAAAGTGCGTGTGTTTTGTGCTTAAGGTGTGTGAGGCTTGTGCTTAACATGCGTAAGTTTGTGCTTAACGTGCGTGAATTTGTGTTCTTAAGGTGTTTTATTTGTGTGCTTAATGTGTGTGTGTTTTGTACTTTAAGTGCGTCAGATTAATGCTCAATGTGTGTCCACCCGCACAACCGCACGGGAAGCCCTCCCCGCATCTGATCCCCCTCCCCCCCCCCCCCCCCCACACACACACACACATATATATATATATATATATATATATATATATATATTTCTCGTATTAGAAGATTGCAAACCTCGTGCACTTAGCTTCTTCGGATAGCCGCTACATGTTTTCTTCACCATTTTTTTTGAACTATAAACTATAATTCACAATTTGAAATTTAGGGAAAAATGTCAAACTAAATAAGCCTCTTAATTGCGAGCACCTTGTGCTCAGATGACATGTAGTGACCTCTCCCATATGGAAGGTAATGAGATTGAGTTTCAGTGAAAATGTTGTTGACTCTTTGTGCTTCATTAGATTGGAAAAGTATGTTTGAACAGATACTACAATGTAATAGAGTCAGTAGCATTAAAAAAAAAAAAAAACCTCATAATTTGATTAGATAGTGCAATTAAACTCTAAACTAAACTGGCAAAACAAAGTGCAATTAAGTTCTAATGTTTACTATTCAACATATTACCACTGATTTGACACGCATAGAAGTATAGTCCGTGCCAAATCAATGATAAACTGTTAAACATGTAAAATTAGGACGCAATTATATATATATATACACACCCACCCACCCCAATTTAAGGGGTCTCATTGGAGTTTGTTTTACTTAGTGCTCAAATCTTTTGTACTAAAATATTTCCTCTACGATGAATATTGCCTTATGATAAATGACAGATTCTTTTATACTTTATTGGGTAAATGTGAATTAGTTAACAAATCAATTGTGAGTTAAATGAGTTAATTCCAGCAATAGTCCTCCGACTATTGTGATTTTCCAAAATTAGTCATTGTCTTTTAATTTGGACAAAAAAGACACTTGACTTTCAGATTTGTTACAGCATTAGTCCTTCCGTTAACTTTCAGTTAGTTGGGTGTTAGTGTAGAGGCTAAAATGGTCATTTCATTAGCTTGACTCCTTCCTCATGTTTGTGAGTATACGTATGTATTAAAAATAGATAGATGAGCAAAATGAAAAACTCCATTGTTTCTCATCTATTTGGCGGCGACGGCTGCCAAAAGAGGCGGCAAAGCTGCTGTGATCTCGTCCAATGTCGTAGCGGCGACTGATTGGTACTCTTGGAGGCTTTATAGGGTGTGGGATATCTAAAGAGAAATAATTTAGAAGGAGTTACTTCCCCCGATCAAAAATAATGGAGGAAAGCAGTTAAAAACTGACTAAAACTTCAAACAGATGGAAAGGAGAAATCATTGCATAATTATGCTTCAGGAGCAAGAAAATTGTGCAGGCAATATCGTATTATCTGCGCCATGGGGTAACAAATAATTAGACTTGTGTCTCAGGAAGATAGCATAGATTACGCTTCAAGAATTCAAAATATTAAATTAAAAACAAGACAACATGAAAAAATTACAGAAAAGACTTTATTTGGTACACAATTTGTCTTATGATGCTTTCATCACAAAAAAGAGCAGAAAACCAATGTGATTCCGTGCATTAGCTCTCTAGTCACAGTTTTAACATGATACTTCTAAATGGAAAAATTAATAAGAACAAAAATATAAGCATGCATGCAACTGAATAAGTATATTTTTATAATAGTACCGTACCATATATGGCATGTACTCTACTAACCTATAATACCAAATTTGTAAGATGTATCTGGCCCATCTTTTGGAGGTGTTTGAAACCAAAACTTCCTTGAAGAATCACCATTTCCAATCTCATAGTAATACTTTCTGTCAATTTAACATATTATCAGAAAATGGAAGTGTGATGACAATAATGGTCAGTTCATTAGCTTGCTTTCTTCTTCCTCATGTTTGTGAGTATACTTATGTATTAGACGCAGGTGAGCAAAATGAAAAACTCCTTTGTTTCTCATCTATTTGCCGGCGGCTGCTGCCAAAAGAGGCAGTAAAGCTGCGGTGGCCTCGTCCAAGGCCGTAGCGGCGGTGACTGCAGCGGAGAACGGCAGTGCGAGCGTCGACAATTTGGCCAACGGAGTTGGGGAGCTCCAGATATCCGATCGGACGTGTACGGGCATTCTGTGTTCGCATCCTCTGTCTAGAGATATTCGGGTGAGGTTTCTGATCTACTTTTCGGATCTCACGTTATCGGATTCTCTGTTGTCAGGAGCATTTGCCTTGATTTTGTTTCAATTTTGCATGTCATTGATTGTACGTTACCAAATAGTGTGTATGATTCAAAAGGATTAGCTTATTACTGACGAGAACATTTGCTGGATAATATTGGTTTTACTTGCCGAAGCAATGGGGCATACTAGTTTTGGTTTGAAAATGGTGTTAAAGAACAATGTTGTTGATTAATATGCACCCTATTTTGAGTAACAATTAGCCAATTATGCACATAAGATGTCATAATGAATAAAATGTTGTTGATTTATAGTATTTTATATTTAAAACTAGAGAAGCTTGAACCAATGATACTCGTGTCCAACAGAACCCACTCTTCTTGCTGCCATGGTTTGCTTGGGCTGAATGGCTGTGATAAATTCACTCTTCTTGCTGCCATAGTATGTCGGGAACTTCACATACCAGAGCATATGTATATTTACCACCTCAGTCGTGAGATTGAAGCATCTGTCATGTCTTCACGGGAGGATGTCATCGATCTGCTGTGATGAAAAAATGTTGAAATTAGGGAAAGAAGCTGAATCTATGAAATGACCATTTTAACCCCTACATTAACACCTAACAAAGTGAAAGTTAACGGAAGGACTAATGGTGGAACAAATATGAAAGTTAAGTGTCTTTTTCGTCCAAATTAAAAGACAGAGACTGATTCTGGAAAATCACAATAGTCGGAGGACTATTGCTGGAATTAACTCTGAGTTAAATATATTAGATAAGTTATTAATTTTGTAGAAGAATTGGCCCAAAAGTTGCCAAGAGTTGTTAGGCCCAACAATTTGGTAGATCAAATTAGATATGTAAGATATTTACCAAATTGAACAATTCAAATTCCATCTTTTAATCATCGATTGGTATTACTATATTTAGTTTTATTTTTTTAACTGTGCCATATTACATTATTATTTTTCATTTGTTTGCCAAAATAATCATTCTTTTAATTAAAATTTTGCAATTTCATCATTTAACAAAAATTATTGATATGTAATTTTATTATTCAATTAAAAGAATTTAAAAGATATGAAAAAAAATTACATATTTGAACAAGAAGATTGAATGATAAAATTATATGTTAATCATCTTTACTAGTAGATTATGATGATTTGATCACAACCGTACCTTATCTTAGATTGTCAGATTAAAGTGCATGTTCTCAATTAGGGAGTTATTCTCATGAGAATCAAACCATATATATATATATATATATATATATATATATATATATATATATATATATATATACTAGTTTTTTACGCGCATTGCGCGATTGGGATAATGTCTAATGTTTTTCTTAAATAAATATTTTAAAGTATATATAAAGGCAAGATTATATTTGAATTGTTCATGCATAGATAATTGAATGTTGACATTACGTATTTAAATTGGTAATTCTAAGTTTACAAATGCAAGATAATATAGTCAAGATTGATTATAATTATTGTCAATAAAATAATTTTATGGGTATGGTTGAAACCAAATACAGGATATAAGGGAGAGCAAATAAAAATTAAAACATAAAATATTAAATATATACTACGGAGTAATATTGTTTGAGGAGGTTCTAGCAGTAGGAGCGTTGTGGTGTGAGCACGTGCCCACCTTGCAAGGTGGCCACAGTTCCATATTCATAATTTCTATACTGTAGATTCATAATTTCTATACTTTAGATTCATAATTTCTAAACCGTAGATTTATAATTTAAATAAAGTAGATTCATAATTTCTAT